AGTAGTAGCAGTAGTAGCAGTAGTAGCAGTAGCAGTAGCAGTAGCAGTAGCATTAGTAGTAGTAGTAGTAGTAGCAGCAGCAGTAGCAGTAGCAATGGCAGTAGTGTTAGTAGTAGTCGTAGTTAGTTAGTTGGTTAGTTAGTTAGTTAGTTAGCTAGTTAGTTAGTTAGTTAGTTAGTCAGTTAGTGAAACAAGCAAGCAAGCATGCAATAGTAAGTAAGTAGCAGCAGTAGAAGACGTAGTAGTAGTACTAGTAGTGCTGCTACGACTCTACGACACTACCACTGCCACCGCCACAACTTGTACGGCTATTAGAACTACTAGGACTACAACAACGACTACCGCTGCTACAGCTGCTTCTGCTGGTACTTGCACGATTACCAGCACCGATACCATCCAATATCACTACCACCGCCACTGCCACAGCTACTGCTGCTACTGCTTCTATGAAGAGCAACACATGTACGTTATCTGTACCATTGGCCTCTGCGGCTACTGCTGGGGTGATGTTTTCTGTAGCGGCTACGAGGGGGGCATCGCCCAGTGTCACCACCACCCGCATTGACGCAACAACTAATGCCAGTCCATTTCTCTTTTCACGCTCGCACTCCTAGCCAACATATATACTCCTAGTCACTATGCGAGATGTGGAGTCCTGGTAAGCCAAGGCACTCATCGGGGAAGACTTGGATCATGCTCTCCAGCAGATACTGTTGGGACCTTTGGCACCGCCGGGGTCACACATCAAATTGGATGCCTCGAGAGATCAGGGTCTTGCAGTCTCAATACCATGAAGGAGTTAAACTCTCAGTGGGAGAGCAGCAGCTTGATCTCATTCGTTCGGTACTCAGTTGGACTAAGTCGCACTTCACGATGGGATGAATGAAACAAACTTCTGTAACAGTACGGCCAATCCCCATCCGTGACACCAGCAAAAAAGTAGCTTGCATTAGCTTGCATTGCATGCATTCCTCCTGCGTCTAACGGGCTTCCAGCATCGATTCACTTGAATACCTCACGAATCCTTACGACGCTCACATTCGTCAGGAACGTGGATCAAAGGTCGCATGCCAAAACGCGCAACCCAACTGTGTCAGACTGCACTGGCTCACCGAAGTGCAAGACGCGAACGCCCTCATGCCCGATCCAATGCAAAACTGTCCAGCCGCACAAAGCGAGCACCCGGCATCACGTCCTTTACCGAGACAATGTGATCCAGGATCTTCGGGAGGGCTGTCTCCGCGTAGAAATCCATGGTCATGCCTCCAAAACTTGATCAGTTGCAGTCTTTTACAATTTAGGGTTGAAGTTTTGGGTTCAGAATTGAATAGGGATTTGGCGAGAGCGGGCCTTTAAGACCATAGTCTGAATTTCTGCAAATATGCTTCAGACAGAGCCCTAACAGCCTTAACCACGACGTCCGACGACTTGAGAATCTTGACCGAATTCGCCGAAGCTTTCCTGCTATGCTGAATCGTTCCTGAGTGCAGTGCCATCCAGCTGACTAAGTCGAACGAGGTTGGCGCCAACGAGCACTCGCAAATCCTGGCAAGTTCGGGATCAACAGTTGCTGGCCCTGTTGAAGCGGCAGCTAACTCTGATGTCATGATGAGCCCTTAGCCAAGCTTCAAATCCAGCTTCGATCGCAGAGATACATACACATGAACTTCAACAGCACAAACAAACCTTAGCGACTATGCAACAACCTACACACACACAGAACAAGCTCTGTGCCACTGCAGTACTTACAGTCACGCAAGTACTAAATCATACGAGTGTTACAGGGGTTCTGCTTACAGCAATGGGCAATGCTGTCCAGCAACACTCTGTTTCTCCAACAACTACCCGTATACTGGCATCGGAACAGTGGCGCTGGCCAGCAAGTTGTGGCAATATTCTGCTGCGAACTCGTGTTGGAACACACATAAAACCTGCCAAGGCCTCAAGCATTTTAAAGCACCAGGAAGCCATAGCTTCTACGCAGAAGCTTTGCACCCGTTATTGCTAACCCCTACGCCCTACGCTGCCCTACACGCTACCTTCAAATGCTGAGCACTTACAATGCAAAACCTTGTGTGATGGTGAAGAAATTCCTGAACACTGAAGCACCAACGTTTCATCACATGTGACGACAATGGGATCAAGGTTTGAAGTTAGACTTGCCAGCTCTGCATTCCAGGGTCAATCCTCTTTGACGGCAGGGCTTGTGGGCGCACGTCCAGTGTGTGCGGCTAATGGAATACATTTTTGGCAAGCCTCTTCAGATCTCAAAGGGTAACTTGGAGACTCAAGATACATGATCCCCAGGACTGCTGTGAACAACTCAGTCAAGATGCATGGCGCTCTCTTTCTCGTCGATCTTTTTCCCTGTCAGTTAGAAGGCATGACCCAAGGCCGCACTAGGTTAGGTATCAGGTGGATCGCGCGATTTATTTAGCGAGCCTGGCAAGTTTTGCTGGGCTTTCCATGTGCTGTTGCAGGATTCTTGCATGCCAGTGCTGCGCAGGGCCAAGACTTCAGCACGGCAGGTTCCGGTTGCACACATACGGCTGAACGCATTGCTGCGATTCGAGATACTTTTCTAGTCGTTGCTGAGATCCTAAACCAGGAACCACAGCTTCACATGCATGTACAACCTTGCGAAACCCGTGCCCAAAGCACCAATGCGGCCTGGTAGGGCCTTGATGCTGGATGCGAACCTGTCCGAGTTACATGGCTGCTTGGAGCTGTCTTGGGTAAGTCGGGGTTCAAGCACGGTATGGATTGCATGGTTGTAGCTCGCTAGCGACAGCGATTTCGGACAATTATAGGAGCTCTGCTATGCAGTGACAGATTCTCGCTCCAAGGTTTTGAGACTGGTGGCGGGCTTCTTAACGCAAACCGAAACTGTAGCGTCCTGGGCATGAAGATCAGCTTGAACTCTCAAAGTCTCAGAGTGTTCTCGAGACTCTTCGCTCATGGAGCTACCAGTACAGATCTTGGGAAGAAGGCAGCGAGAGGCTGGTTTCCGTAAGGATTCTGCTCCTCGAGATTCCAGTGTGATTCTGATCACAAGCCGATGTCACCAGCCAATTGCCCCAATGAAACCCCATGCGAACCAGCAAGAAAGCAGCCCGGACATCACTGCACCGGAACTGCCCTGATCGGGCTTGGAAGCCAACCGATTCCCTCTGACCGACTATGACCCACTGAGGCTACGGCCCAGAGGCGGTTGCTCTCCTGTGTGACATATGCTACTGTGGGACCAGCTTGGGGCTTGTCATTGCAGAACCGCGATCAGGATTTTGGTCATCGTCCCCCAGGCGCCCTCGATGCAGCACGTCACGCCCCCACCGCCCGGACAGGAGTATCCATGCTCGAGCAACTTAAACCCGTACTTCACTCGGTCAAAAACCATGTAAAGCCTTGGCAGCTTCAAGTTTTGAAGCACGGTCCGAAACGGCAATCTGGTCACCTTGGAAAGCCTCCAAACCACCGAAGCCATAAATGCACTTCGACCCATAATTAGCCTTAAATCTCCCAGCAGTTCCTGGAAGTTGGTGAAGATGAAGTCGAAAGCATCGTTGATGTCCCCTCCTTCTCCTTCGAAGCCAGAGCCGGTATCTGGCAGCTTGTCCTGAACCAGAGTGGCTACGACGTCTCGAACGTTTCAAACTGAAGGACTTGACCCTGCCTTTCGTGTTCGTTCCCCCGGGTCTAGCACTAGAAAACCCGCAGGCTTGCAGCTTCAATTGTGTGCTGTCAATTCTGCCCCTGCGCCTTGCGGCGAAAGAGGCAATCACTTATGTTCTCATGTTTTGATCTGTTTTGTCTTCTTCATTCTGCTCCCATCTCCAGTCAATTGGTTCTTGTGGTCGGACGGAGCCTTCAGCATCTGTGACAGGTAATACCGGAGGAAGAGCCCTCGAAGAGGATGCTGCACCTTGGCACACTCTCCGAGCCCGAAGCTTCAACCCATGGACGATCATGTTTGACATACGAGCAATGTCACCACTGCTGGCGCGAACACTCACTAGATGCGTCTGACACGAACTCTCTGTCAGCCTGCTGCGAAGTCGTTGACATACCACTTTGGCTTAGACCACGAATCTGCAGCGAGCTCTCAATCCTCATCCCGCACGGGAAATCACATTTCGAAGCGCCCGCACGCAACAGCGACAGGCCGGCGAGTAGCTTCAACAACTCCGAAGCTGAGTCTGCAAACGAGGAAGGTTTTTCCAAAGCTCGCTTTGCCGCAGGGTTCTACTGTACCAGTCTACCACAATGGCGATGGCACCGAAAGTCATTGCCTGCTATCTCCTCGTCCTTGAGTTGTGGAAGGCTGACTGCCCAAGTGGCTGGACGCACCGGGAGACCCCGCGATTTAGGATCCCTGAAGCGAGAGTTCCTCCAGGAGGCGCTCCGTCCGGGTCTGAGGCCGATCCTCCTGCTCTTATTTTCCACAAAATCACCTGCAGAGATCTTGCTCACTCGGCCTTTACGCCCTGCGCTTTTGTGAGTCGGCTGACCCAGCCACTAGCACTAGCACTACATGGGAGTCCTAGAGAGGTCTAGCCAAAAGAGGAATGGGATCGTCTATGGGCCTGGTGCTGGCAGTGGAGCACTCCTTTGTCGTGGTCGGTTTGTTTCGTGTTTCGGAAGCCGGCGTAGGCAATGTCAAAGGGGCTTCAGCCGCAGTTGCTCCGAAATTGAAACGACTGTGGCGTTCCGCCGTGATATCACTCTGCTCGTCCACCCGTCGCAGCAAGAGGTTGTTCGTGAGTGCTCCACTTACTTCTTCTATTCTGTAGTTTTGGTATGATCGAGATCGAATAGGCAGAACGTGATTGTTAGACTGTTAGAGGCAATCTGCCGTTGAGCACTTGATCCGTGGCTAAAGCTCGGCCCAAGCTCTGTTTCTTTGCCCGCTCGCCCAGCCCGTTTTTCTTTGAGCTGCGGCGTGGACAATGTCAAAACGGCCCAAAGGGGCTTCAGCCACAGTCGCTCCGACTTTGAAACGAACTGCCATGGTATGACTCTGCTCCTCCAGCCGTCGCAGCAAAAGGTTTTTCGTGAGTGCTCGACTTGCTGCTTCTAGTTTTGTACGGTCAGAACAACTTTTGGAGGAGGGACGTGATACCATAGCTTGGTTGGCAATCGTCAGGGAATGTGAATGTTTCCGCTAAGTGGGATACCTGCCATGAGGTTTGCACGGATGAGGGCCTCAGGTCGGCACGCCTTTACACAGCTCATTGACGTCCTTGAGAATTTCCTGCCAGGCCAGAAAATGCTTCCGGGCCCTCGGCACCCGCCATGCATGTGCCTATCTTGTTGCCATGTCCAAAACAAGATGCATTCCCGATGTGGTAAGCTTGCTTCTCATGGGGACCCAAGGCTCTCAAGCTTCATCGTTGCAGGTACCCGCTGGGGGTTCGCTGGTCTCTCGGAACACACAGGCCACTCCAATACCAATCAACAGGCAGAATAGGAAACAAGAGCAGCTGGGCCTTCGCTGGAGCTTCCAGGGACTTGATGTAAGCCGCCCCCACTGTTGCTAGCAAGTACAGTCTGGGCAGAATGTTGCCAGCATGCTGCACCTGGGAGGAGGCAGGGTTTAGAGTTTAGAAACCTAAGGTTGCAGGTCGGAGTTATTCAAAAGGCCTTCACCTGAAGATCACCGACCTCTAGGCAATCGAGATGGGATGGACGAGTTGGGAGCAGTGTTGGTCTGAGTCGCGGAGTCAGGTAGAGGTGCTAGAACCCCTTCCGCAACTTCGTCAGGTCAGCATGTTAAGTTCGTTGCTCATAGCCTGAGCTAAATTATCGGCCTGATCTAGAAGGTTGAACCTTTTTCTGCCATCGGCATCGGAATGCAGAGCAGGGGCACCATGGAGTGGGGCGCTTGAAACTTGTGCGTCAAATCTTGCCGGGCTTAATCATGTCGGCTTCCATCCCGCCAATGCCGACCAAAATACCCAGTGCTTACGTACCCCGGGCGTATTGACACCCTCAACCCCTGCTGCCCAGCAGATGCTCACCGCAGCCATAGCACTGACTCATAGAGATCAATCATCTTCTTCTTGTGCCGGCCCCTTGGCAACTGCAGGGCTTGACGCCGCTCAAATCAACTCCGACACGAACTGTCAGAGACCGACGTGCATTTAGGATGCATGGAATCGACGCCACCTAAACACGATCCTGAACCCCGAACCGAAATCCCAATGTTCCTACCTGGAACATTCCACACACATCACCAAGGTCACACTGCTCCCTGAAATGCCTGGTGTCGATTGAGTGAGAGTGTTAAAGCTTCAGATCTGCTCCTTCAAAACCGCCCTTCGCACGGGCGCTTCATTTCTGAGCCCTTTCTACAGACTTTCTCCAAACATGTTGATTTGAATTGGCTCGAATCCGTACCTCGGACTTGCCCGAATAACGAGGACACACATCATGCGCGGCAAGGTCCCTTCGGTTCTTTGGGATGGTGGCTGGAGGGGATGCAGGCGGTTGGGATGATTGAAACCGCCGCCCTGAAATTGAAGTAATGCCCTGGCAAAACTGAAAGAAGGGCCGAAGGCGCTTGTCCCCGAAGAAACCAGCCAAGTGCTGCATTTCGTTGAAGACCTTCCAGAGTCAGAAGGCAGATGATGACAGCTCACGCTGGCTTTGTAAACTAGTAACCGCCCAGCACTATAATAAGGGGCGGGGAAATGTTGGGAAGTTAGTCCGTCGGGGCAGGCCCAGGACCTCTGGATGCAATTTATTCACCCAGGTCGCCCAGCCCAAACGACAAGGATCGAGACCTGGATCACTCACAAGAGACAGCTCCACTGCCTGCATGTACAGCTCGAAGTAATTCTTCGGAGACAGCAGGGAAGTACGGAGCCTCAAGTGTCACTGGGCCGGTGCCAAAGAGTCGGAGTGGGTTATTGAACCGCCAAGATCTCGGAATGCTTCATCTATAATGCACGGTTACGAGGCAGTGCCGAAAGGTTTGGTTCTGGTCAAAGCCAATGCACAACCCGTCATCGACTTTCGAAACCCTCCGGGGTCTTTGGGGGTTTTCGACGAGCCTCCATAAAAAGGGTCTAGGGTGTATTAAGATTACTAGATAGGCCTGGGAAAACCCACTGGCAGGACCCTTGCAGTGCATCTGATGCATGCATGGCTGCCTGTCATTCAGTGATCCTGTCAGTGTCACTAGCGAACCTTTCGAGTCATCAAGAGGGCCAGAGCCGTGAACTAGCTGGGCTATCACACTAGCAGCCAAACGCCAATTTACCCTTGACTCCTAACCTGTGGCACATTGGGGTCCATCCAGCCTTTTAGCTTCTCGGGACGCAAAAGGCTTCAAACGAACGTAGAATTTGTAGAAACTTGATACCGATGTGTTGAGGAGGCTGGTGGCCTAGCCGGGGTTTTCCGTGAGCAGCGGAAACTGTACAAGCAAGAAGCACAAAGATGACTCCAGCCTAAAGAGCGCTCCGCACAAAAATGTGCAAATTAGCTGTTCGTCATCCCTTGCGCGAAACCGCAAACCGCACACATGCGCAAATACCGATTTCGTGATTTCAGTCACGTTAACGAGACGAGCATGTCCCAAAGCTCAATCGCCTCACGAAGCCTATAATCACAACTTCGCTACACCTTTGACCCTGGACCCAACACACCATTTTCAGAACCTTTCAAGGTCCACACTCACAAATCATGTTGGAGGCGTTCTTCAACGCGTCCCGCACATTGTCTCCGTCGATGGCTTTGCGCATGTAGAAGGCTTGCTCCTTCACCTCGGCCATGCTTTGAATTTTCCGGGTTGGATTTGTCAATCAAGGCTTGGGCAGTAGATCCGTACTCGGATTCATGTTTCTTGAAGGTGACGGTTAAAAGGCTTCACCTATATTCAGCAAGACCAGGTCGCCAAACCATCAAACAACAACCTGAAAATTCAGAGACCTCAAATACTACATGATACTGAGTGTTCGGGGGCACTTTCCACTTATGGCTGTGCAGTCCGAAGAAGAGCCAACGGATGTGGGTGTTGGATTCGGCTGGCCGTTTTTTTTAAAGTTTTGCTGACGGAATCAGGGCGCCCGCTTTTCAAGGTCTACTGAGTGTCTTGGGTCTCTTGCCAGGCCCTCGTACCCCGTCGCGATCCGAAATCATCTCCTAGCCTAGTGGAACCTAGCCCAGCAATAAACAGTTCCAGACCGAAGAGTTGAGAGACCCTGCAGCCCCAATGAGGTGTATAGTTCCCCTGCATGACATTCGAGCAGCAGGTCTGCAACATCAAATCCCTCTTTTTCTAGCCTCAAGGTAAACCAGCAGGCACAGAGGCACTCTGGCTCAGAGTCTAGGTCGTCGTGCTTCGTAGCTTGCACACGCGACTCTCTGCCAATGCGTGCCCTCAGTTCATCCCGTACCCGTTTTTGCAGATGCGCCCTTCAGGTACATTGCCTCAAACAAGACACGAAGTGCAAGCACGACCTCCAAAGCTAAACCCTACGCAAAGACGTTTCAACTCAAAGCAGCCATCACAACAGCGACACATCCCGAGGTTTATGCTCTCGCAATCCGGACTTTGCCGGACGAGGTCTCTCGCTTCGTAACTCACTGCAGCTGGGCTCACTACAGTTCGGGATCAGGCTTAGGGAGTTGAGATCGGGACGCCGTTGGCAGTAAAGAGCTTACCCTTAATGCCGGGACTCAAACTCCGAGGTTTCAGAGACCAAGCTACTCCCCCATGATCACGTTTTCGGCGTTTCACCGAATGAGGCTCCGACCACCGCCGTGGCCTCATCCAGCAGTCGCTCCTGATCATCGGGGCCTGGAATGCCACTTCTCCGAAAATCCAAGAGCCATAGCTTCACCCCAAAATCGAACTCAAGAAAGCACCTTGTTTCCTCAACCCAGCTCTGCACCTGCTGAGATGGTGACTGGTGACAGCGAGGCCCGGACCAAATGCATTCCCCCGCGCCATCCCGGCTCGGCCGTCCTGGCAAAAGGCAGGTATAGGATCTGGGAAGTTGCGGGAAGTAGGTATTTGGGAGCTTGGAGGGAGATCGACAGGTCTTGTAAACAGGAAGGACACAGAGAGCCTGGCGAAGACAAGTTAGTCGAGGAATTCTTCATGCTACATGCTGTGGCGATACCGTTGTTCTTGGGCACTCTAGTAAACGATTCGCGGTTGAGGATGAAGAAGCTACGATATTCCTGAACCATTGAGCCTTTGTACCATATAGACCCTGAAGATCTGTGGTGGACTTTGGCCGATGCTTCGGACAGCCAGCCCTACAGCTTGGGCGATGATCCACAGTGCCTGACCCTGACCCCACACTCCAACATACTCCAACCACTTTTAGGCCATTGTTTGCTTCGTAACTACGAAAAGTGGCCTTGCAACACATAAAGGGCTTTACTCCTCGACCAACAAACATACGCTGTGTAAATCAATTTCTGTCCTCGGAGGCGAGAGCAGCCCGCCCCACGAGAGTCTACCGGGACCGCACCGAGAAGCACAGTTGAGCCACGAGTGCAAGGTTTGAGGAGAATTTGACAGATAGCCATGATCAGCTTGTGGTAGCGTTCATCGTGCCGCGGCCGATGCCGATGCCCTCCTGCGGACACCGAATCGAGAGATGCAAGCGGACGCAAAAGGGCCCCCGATGCTGCGCGATGGATTGAATAACTAGCAGCATTGCGAGATTTGTAGGAGCTGCAGTTGGAACACTGGCACTGGTACTACCAGAAGCAGTACGAGCGGCGTCGCCTGTAGGGGTACGTGTCACTGCGCAGGCTGATCGCGAAGATTCGCGAAGTGCCTTCTTGCTGGTCATTGGTCTATTGGTCTCAATTGCAAAAAGCAGTCATTTCCTCACACATCACACCTCCAGCTTAGGGTCTCTTCGTGAAGCGCCTTCCTTTGACACACACCTCAAGTTGATAGGAAAGGGTGAGGTGGGGACATTGAAGTGGCTTCCGGAGGTGTTCAATTTGCAGAACAAGTGCATACGTTTCAGTCAGATCCCTGAATGTAGGCTACTTGTAGTTGACGTACCCGCCGACGGGGTGTCTATAAACGGATCAAACTCACAAAGGGGGGCTACGCTACTTTGCGATGCCTTGCGGGCGGCTCCAGTTTTGGGAGAGCGTTAACTTGCTGACGGTCACGCCGTGAAGTAGAACACTGATGGCATGAAAGCATCAAGCCTGCACCAAAGACTTGGTAAAATCTCACGGAGGCCTGCACATTTTCGCCTCTCACCAACCGCAAACATCCGCATGCAAATCCCAGCACAACAATTCCATATATGCAGTTCCCTGCTGGCCATCTTCTCCCGCTATGTACAAGTCAACTCTGCCAGCGGGAGGCCATCCACACACTGTCGCGCCCAGCTTCTAAGTCGTTCCATGTCAGAAGTAGGAACCCCTAGGCCATGCATGTATTCTTCCCGTGAGCTCCCGCAAGCATCCGCAAGCAGCCTGCATCCCAACATGGTTGTGAAACTAGCGCGTGCAAATCCGATCGCTGCACGTGCAGAGACGTAAATGTCTTCATGCGTAGTTGACGAGTATTCACATAACGGATCTGCAGCTCCCCACTTGCCAGGGAGTGAGGTTGTTGGACACAAGCTCCGCCCAAATTCTCTATTCTAGTCAAAGTTATTGCCGGCGAGAGGGCCACTCACACACACAAACATCTACACCCAACTTATAAGTCCACGACTGTCCATGCATGGGCAGTGCATCCTAGGCTTTGCGCCTGTTCTTCCGGTGTGCTCCCGCCGGAACCTTCTTCTCAGACGTCGACGACGTCAAGGCCTGCAAGAATCGTGGAACAAGCTGCACCATAATCAACAAATATGCAAGGTAATTGCAAACGAAATCTTAGGGAAGTAGGGACCATGACATTCCCCGTCCTTCACAACAGCTTTCTCCAGACCTCACCTCTCCTCATCCATGTGCCCAGTGGAGCTATGTTCGGGAAGGACAGGAAAGGGACGGTATGGGAGAGGGTTGACTGGGAAACTGCACTGTAGCCCAAGAACCATCGCTGAAATCATGTTTCCAAACTCACTTCGCAAACTCGCAGCACGGGATTCACTGGTCTGGGAAGGAGCGCGCGTTGCTGCCAACCTTGCCACCAAGCGCTTGCGCGCTCTTGCGCTCTCAAGCTGGGCCGCACGCAGGTGCCTGGTTCGCAGCCACTCCCTCTTCGTGTAGGTCTGCGTGGCCAATCTCCCGGATGTGTCGGGATGATTCGCGAGGGAAGCTGCTCGGAGAAAGAGCTGTTGTGACAGGCGCTGGTGACTTCGCGGCGGCGCAGGCTTGCGCGCATGCCCCCAAACCGGACCACCACTACAGTAGGCGTGTACGTAGCACACATTACAACACTCAATGGTACTTTCTTTTCACCAATGCTGTGCACTCCCCTCTCATGCCCGGCCCCCACGTGCTTGGTCTATCAAGACTTGGCCCGGAATATGGCGTGGGCGGGCCCAAGAGGAGAGGCCGACATCGACCAAGCCAGCATGTGTTACACAGGTCTCAACATTCTAACCTTGGTTACATGCTCTGGGCCACCGCGCTGTTGCAAGCCTGGCCGCCTCGATTTGACAAGTCGCAGGTATTTGGCAACGACTACGGGAAATGGAACTGCCAAATCAGAACAGCCAGAAGCCACGACAACACCGGTACGCATTTCAAAGAATTGAGCCCCATGCTTTCTTCTTGGCTTTGAGCTCGCCAACACCACAAAGGTGGCAGAACTTGCAATCCTGACGAGGATGGCAAATTGCACCAATTGGCAGAACTTTACATCGTACCCCGCAAGTGGCACCCAACATGCGTTGCCCAGGATTTAGGAGCCGGGGCTTCCATAACTTTGGCATAAATCCGACCTTGCCGTGACGGCATCCTTCTCGATGCCAGTACCAGGCGCACGGCTTGCATTCGCCACTTCCTCAGAAACTTCTTTCTTGCCCCCTGCAAACCAAAGAAGAAGGGCACCGAAAGTGTAAATAGCAACACACCATCCCGCAGAGTGGAGCATGTTTGGCATCGGCCAATGGACTGTAGGCTAGGAGGCGGGGATGTTGGAAGCAGAGAAGCGACGCAGCTGGCAGATGCAAACGCCTGTCAACAGAAACGGATGGGAGTCTCCGCCTTTAGACCCCTGAACGTCCTTGGTCGGCATAAACGCGACCGGAAAACAAACCGGCAAAAAGTCTGACCGGGGATGCACGGACGTAGGCTAGTATAATCCCGTATACGAACTGAGATCTACCAGGAAAATGAACGCCCCCTCTTGTACTAGGGACAGCCGCACTGAAATGGATTTACGGACTGATGCACTTGACGATATCACAGTGAACCCTGACAAGCCATCCGCAAGCCTGCGCCTCAGCACCTCTACCACTTGAAGCGCTGGAATGGGTTCATTTTCTTAGGCTGGAGCCATGCAAAGCGGAGCCTGCCGAAGCCAAAGGTGACACTGACGGCGCCTGGCAGACTGGTGGATGACTTGACTTCAACAAAACTTGAAAGTTGGTTTCGGGACCTGTGGCACAGAGGCATGGGCCGTGGTCCTGTCCAATCCTCAAAACTTGGGGCAAACGCCGAACTTTCAGAACAAATACACGAAGTCGGTTTCTAATTCCGGCGGCTAAGCGGTTTTCGGGCCCGAGGGCTCTGTGAGGTTTAGTATTGTGGGCTGCGGTCCCATCTTCAAATCTTCGCTCGTTGCCCGGTTAGCATTCTGTTTGACGCTGCGCCGGCAGCCTTAATTTCACGAAAGCCT